GGGACATACCTGGAATTCCTCCACATCCCACCTGCATTCATTCTCCTGTACAAACAACCAGATTTAGACTCGGATGCATTAGCGGTTTGTGTTCTCAGTCTGATACGGAATGCCACGCTGGCATGACAAGCTCATCCTTCCGCACACCGGCATCGAAAATAGGTCTACATCAAGAACCCAACCCTTCCTAGGACAATATATACGCCATACAGAACACAAGGAGGCCCGCCTCCGACTGCCACCATTAAGATCACCTTCATTGCTGAGGGGTTAGAACTTCTGCCAGATTTCATATTGCTTTGGATTTTCGCTTTTAATGTCTCAAAATTAGGAAAGTTCCACAACATGGAGCGCCTGAGCTCTGGCGAGGCTGTCCTTATGAGAGACAGAGTACTCCTAACTGGAGGACCCTTCAAGCAGGGATGAACCGATACCGAGTACTTGGGCCAGTATTTGGTGCCTGCAGGGTGGGGGTCGTGTCACCATATTGTCAGATCTGTTTGGCCGGCCTCGATGCCGATTGGCTGGGAAGCCCGCTTCCCGGCCAAATCAGCATCCAGCTGGCAAAGCAGAATAGAGTCGGCTTCCCAGGCAATCAAAAAGCCTTCCTGGCTTCCTGATTGCCCGGGAAGACGGCTCTATGCTACCGGAAGTACCAGTATCGCTACTCGGTATCGATGAGTACCGAAATAGAAGTATCAGTACTCGTACACGATACCGAAAAACATCGGGGCTAGCGAACTAAAGTCAGTCAAAATAAATAAGAGCATAAAAAAAAATATTAGGGCTGGTAATGATTAAAATGTTCGTGTTCGATTAATCGAAACATTTTTTAATCGATTAATTTCGATTAATTATAACGCACATACAGATCCAACTACATTGGCCTATCCACATACAGCACAGCAATGATGTCACCGGATCGCCGACGGGACTCCCGGAAGCCGGCGGAGGGGTGAGTGTTTTCATTTGCGATCAAAATAATTTTAATCGATCAAAAAGTTTAACGATTAATCGAGAAAATAATCTTTAATTTTCCAAGCCCTAAAAATATAAATAAAAGCATTAAAAAATTATAAATGAAAGCATAAATAAAATTGTAAAGAAAAGCATAAATACAACTGTAAAAAAAGAATATATCCAAAAAATTATAAATACAAGCATAAATAAAATTATATATAAGAGCATAAACAAATAAATAAATAAATAAGAACACCAATACAAATGTAAATAAAATACAAAAATAAAATGATAATAAAAGCATAATTTAAATGATAAATAAGAACATAAATACAAAATATAAACAAAAGCATAAATACAACTGTAAAAAAAAGCATATATAAGAAAAAAGTATAAATAAGAGCATAAAAAAGTGTAAATAAAAGCATAACTAAAATGATATATAAGAGATGAAAAATAATTAACTAAATAAATAAGAGCATAAATAAAAATGTAAATACAAATAAAATAAAATGATAAAAAAGCATAAATTAAATTATAAATAAGAGCATAAATTAAAATATAAATAAAAGTATAAATAAAACAAATAAAGACAGTATGAGTATTCTGGGAAAGCAGACAGGTCCCGTGCTGAAAGGCTGCAGTTCAATTGAATTATCATAAATATTGAATCAAAAGACACAGTTGTAACTTGGAAAGTGAAGCACGCACATCTGAAAAACAATGTAACATTGTCCATTTTTAGAGGGCTAAATCCTACTAATAAAAAAGTCATCGATTTATTTTTAACATTAAAATGCCTTCTCATTGAGGTTCTAGCGCTATCGTGCTCATGTGCTCTTACAACACAGATGATCAATCTTACGTTTTTATTTTTTTTTGTGTTCCTCCTCCCTCTCTAAAAGCTTTGTGTTCCTGAAAGGCCGGGGCACCCTGACTGAGCAAATGTACTTCTCCTTGTAGAATTATCTGATTAAAGCAATATTGAAGGAAAACACAAAAGATCTTAATTAATTTATACAGCCACTAATGTCTACAAACTATCCCCAGGACGTAGCCAAGGCAGAAGACAAACTGTACCTGTCAACGAGAGAGACTTGAAAGAGACCCTTTCGCACGGCACAGAAAAATAAAGGGGGGTTATTCACTAAAGAGCCGTAGCTTCGGTTAATCCTTCGGCTCACTTTGGCCGCTGGAGCCCTTCGCTTCGGCCGAACCGAAGGGCTGTTGTATGGGGCTATTCGCAATAGCCCGTACAGCAGCCGAAGCGGGGAGAATGGTCTGCCACAGCAGACTGCTTGTCAGGGTCCAGAACACCTCCAGGTGGTGCTGGAGCAGATCCTGCAGTTCCATTGCTCACCTGCAGGTGTCTCCAGGCAGCCGGTGCCCTGAGGGACCCTGAGCGCCTCCAGGTGGCACTGTGACGCAGGAGTCGGGTCCTGCAGTTCCAGGGCTCACCTGCAGGTGTTAGCAATTAGTCACCACCTGGTGCTGATCTCCCTGCAGTGTATATATATATATTTCCCGACTAGCGGTGGCAAGTGCTTGAAGGGCTATATGTTCTGGCGGCGATGGTCCTCACTGTGAGTGGCTTTGGGAAGAAATGTGACACCACTGTGTCCTTAGTCTATGACTGACCAACGACACAGTGGAGAACCTTTGGCTTGGAGAAGCTGTTTGCTTGGTGTTGGAAGCTTCGCCAAGCCAAAGGATCTCCACTGTGTCCTTGGTCAGTCATAGACTAAGGACACAGTGGTGTCACATTTCTTCCCAAGGCATTCCTACCCACGAATGTAAAACAGCCACTCACAGTGAGGACCATCGCCGCCAGAACATATAGCCCTTCAAGCACTTGCCACCGCTAGTCGGGAAATTGGTCATGGAATTCTAGATTGCATCACATGTGTGAAAAGACGGCGCTGAGGATGCCGTCACGTCATCAGCAACCGAAGAGGAGGCCTGAAAGGAAAAGGTAAAGATAATCGTTCAGCTGAAAAATAGGAATGTGTTGAGACACGTATCCTGTTCAAAATCCCACTGCAACCCAAAACTACCAAATATTGAAATCAGCAGAATGTGTGAACTTTAGCTACCTACTAATACCAATGTGACTTCTCCATTAACAGCTCTAGACTATAGGAAACAGATGACCTGGCTCCAATATTCACTATTTCATCAACATCAACGGTTGTGAATGGTTGAAACGGCTGGGCCCAACCAACACGTTCCTTAATATCTAAGCCTAGGTGTCGGCATTGCACTAACCTCCATTTTTTCTGCAGATATCGATATCGACTGTTGCCGATAGTGAGAGACAAATGAAAAAAACGTCAATGTGTCTCCACTTTATTTATCAATATCTTGTATTTTATTCCTTATTTTCTCTTTATACTTTATTTAAATGTTGTTTCCAGGCACAATTTTGTACTGATAAAAATTATCGTAAATGTAAACTTTCTCTCAACAACAAGTAAAAAGAGTGTAAAAAAAAATCTTATCCCTCTCCAACCCTAGAGCCTTCAGTGCACAAAGTAAGGTCCATAAAGACATGGATGAGGGAGTTTGGGGTGGAGGAACTTGAATGGCCGCACAGAGTCCTGACCTCAACCCCATAGAACACCTTTGGGATGAATTAGAGCGGAGACTGCGAGCCCGGCCTCCTCCCCCAACATCAGTACCTGACCTCACAAATGGTCCAACATTCCCATAGACACACTCCTAAACCTTGTGGACGCCTCCCCAGAAGAGGCAGAGCTGTTATAGCGACAAAGGGAGGAGCCAACCCAATACTGAACCCTACGGACTAAGACTGGGGGGCCATTAGAGTTCATGTGCGTGTAAAGACGTCCCAATACTTGTGGCAATATTTTTCACTCACACAAACATATATTTAAATAAATAAATGAAGATATATAGATAGAGAGATATCTTATTTTTGCTGCTTTCTAAATAAATGTGCCAAAAATTAAATAAAATTAAATAAAACGAATGCAGCCATCACATATCAGTCCTGGTGAGCTGTAATATATTGTGTTGTTTTTTTTTTTTGGGTCTAGAAAATTTTTAAAAGCAAAATCATTACAGAAGTTCCTCAATCCCGGGCTGTGGCCCTTGACAACAGCCGCTGGCCAGCTTTGTGATACCATTCAAAGCCTTTTCACTCCAGTGTTTGTGCGGACTCATTTGCATCCATAGTAAGCTATGTGTAGTATGTGGAATTTATGACTCTTTCAGTGTAAGTCTTTCCCACAGTTAACACCTCTTCGTTCAGGCCACAGACACAATGCCTGTCCTCCCACTTCTTCTGATTCATTTCAGAATATGTCAATCTGTTACTCATAAACACCACTCGTGAGGCTGTAATGATATGTTTCTTTAAACACAGGTGATGAGCGGAAAGATCAAGATGATTTTCTTTTTTTTTTTTCACTGGTATGCAATGTGGATACGAGTGGGATTTTTTTTTTTATTCAAAAAAGAGGAGGGGACGTTCACCCGGCGGGATGAGGTATGCCGCCGGGTCCCCTCCTCTCTCCTGACACTGTCGGGTTCTCGGTCCATGACCCAGTGCCCGACTTTTTAGAGGGGGAGACACCAAAATGACTGCCAGTCATTTTGGTGTCACCCCTGCATTGGTGTCACCCAGGTGTGGACCGCACCCCCCTTGTGATGCCACTGGCTAGCAGTGAGGCAAGATTGGTGTGAATTTCCCACATATCCTGTCTCTCGATCATGTAAAAATCTATAATCTGGAATGATAAATGTGTTACTGTTTTAAACAAGGTTAGGACTGTATTATACGTTATATTAACCTTTCTGTAAGCAAAACTTTATTTTCTGGCAGTGCCCCTCCCGAGAATAGACTCTAGATCCGCCCCTGTATGGAGGGGGGCTACTTTTGTTCTCCATGGTCCCTGTGTGTATTGTGATGTAGTCACCACTCTAAGCTCGCTCCCGGGATGGACTACAATCTCAATACAAATGAGTAAACTAAACATGAGATTGTAGTCCATCCGGGATGTTATAACAATGTTATTCTGTATCTTTCTATCTCATGTCTGAACGGTGTTTATAACTCACTGCCAGTGTTCTGTCGAAAGCTCCGACTCGTTGAGATCTCCGACTGGTGACGTCTCATCCGGTGACTTGCCAGTAGGAGATTTAGACCATTCTACATTTAGGACATAGACCGTACTACATATGCCCAAAAACACTTAATTGAAGTACACCCCCTTGCACTTGCCAGTGTTCTGTCGAAATCTCCGACTCATCGAGATCTCTGACTGGTGACGCCCCATCCGGTGACTCGCCAGTAGCAGATTTAGACCAGATGGTGCCAGCCGTGCCGCTGTCAGAATCCCCATCGAGTCCTCGAACTCCCGTCAATGTGCCTGCGCCGCTTCCCAATCCCCATCAAGTTCTCCAACCCCCGTCAGTGCACCTACACGGTCAACGAACAGCAGAATCAAGTCCTCCAAATAGCATTAGTGTGCCTGGGCGCCCATCTGACTGGCACAACATGAGATTACATGTTTTGCTATTGGGTGGGCGTGCTTTTGCATGACTGCGCAGGGGTCGGATAACTTGATGAGGGCTGTGAAGCCGCACAGGTGCAGTGACAGGAGCTCGATAAACCTGATGAGGATTCTAACACTGGTGCATGCGCCACCAGGTTTAAATCCGCCACCGCATGTGACGTCTCCAGTCGGGTCGGAGATTCAACAGAACACCGGCAGTGAGTTATAAACACTGTTCAGACATGCGATAGAGAGATACACAATAACATTGTATCATTGTATCTCAACGGTCGGAGATTTCAACAGAACACCGGCAAAGAGTTATAAACAATGTTAAGACATGAGATAGAGAGATGCAGAATAACATTGTATCATTGTATCTCGACAGGTCGGAGTTTTCGACAGAACACCGGCAAAGAGTTATAAACAATGTTCAGGCATGAGATAGAGAGATGCAGAATAACATTGTATCATTTTATGTCAACAGGTGGGAGCTTTCGACAGATCACAGGCAGTGAGTTATAAACACTGTTCAGACATGCGATAGAGAGATACACAATAACATTGTATCATTGTATCTCAACGGTCGGAGATTTCAACAGAACACCGGCAAAGAGTTATAAACAATGTTAAGACATGAGATAGAGAGATGCAGAATAACATTGTATCATTGTATCTCGACAGGTCGGAGTTTTCGACAGAACACCGGCAGTGAGTTATAAACACTGTTCAGACATGAGATAGAGAGCTACAGAATAACATTGTATCATTGTATCTCAACGGTCGGAGATTTCAACAGAACACCGGCAAAGAGTTATAAACAATGTTAAGACATGAGATAGAGAGATGCAGAATAACATTGTATCATTGTATCTCGACAGGTCGGAGTTTTCGACAGAACACCGGCAGTGAGTTATAAACACTGTTCAGACATGAGTTAGAGAGCTACAGAATAACATTGTATCTCGACGGGTCAGAGATTTCGACAGAACACCGGCAAGTGCAAGGGGGTGGGGAGGTCAGTAGAGTAGCAGATGGTACTACACGCACCTCGTGTACTTCAATGAAGTGTTTTTGGGTCTATGTAGTACGCCCGGTGCCAATACCAATTGAACATTAGTCTCTTTTTTCATCACTACAACCTCCCTTATAAAAACAAACAAAAAAAATGTTCTATGGAATTTTGTTGTTGTTGTTTTTGGATCCCAAAGCCTCAGTCAGGAACACAAGATCTATACATAGGAATCGAGGATCTAAATTAAAAAAGTTCTAAAAATACAATGAATTATATTTCCATGGAATCACTGACCCTTTTACTCGATACTACTTACCCATGCAATGAAAAAATGCCTCCTGATGACAAAATAGAGAGCAGCCGTCACCATTGATCTTGTTCTTGTCATCGCACTCTTCACCCAAGTCCCTAAAGGAAGAGGAAGCAGACTTCACTTGTAATATCACATTAGGACTAGGATACTCTAATGACAAAGCTTTGACCAACAAGATGCCACAAATGAGTATTTGCTCCCTTCAGATTTTTTAAATATTTTGCATCATTTGATTTTTTTCAAGACCTGAAAGAAATGAGCATTCACAACCTTGATCAATGCATTGCACCATGCTTGACTTCTGTTCACACTAAAGTTGTCCAGTAATAAACATTGGAACACTGCTGGGTATAGTCAGGGAATCCATTCTACTCATGGTATTGCTCAGCCCCCCTATGCTGTCTATATCTTAGGAAGCATTTTCCAGTTTGCAATCACAAAATGTAGATAACATGGGGATGTGGGGATGGGGGAGGGGGGCCTCAACGATACCACCAGTTGCATGGTGTTGCTGGTAAATGCCCATCAGCTTTCCAATGCTGCTTGCTGGACAACCGAAATGCAGACAGAATTCAAAGGAGGTGATAGGAATGTATCAATGTACATGGATTATATGGCTCTCCAATGTAATTCTAGGTCGAAGATCCACTTTAGCGATTACACCAGGTTAGTGTATCAAGGCAATTGCTAACAATGTACCTGTAAAGCTCCCTCTGATCCCTGGGAAACCCCATGAAGGAGAGGTAGGGATGGACGAATGGCATGACATTGTTCTTTGATGATTTCTCCTGTGAGCCCAATGTGGCTCACTGTCCATGATACCCCATGTTTATAGGAATTGGGTTGAATGACGCTGGATGTCAGCCATCCCAGAAGAGTGGCAAGTCTGAAGGTCGATGATAATAGGAGGAGCACTGAAGCTGCAGCTACTATATCTTTGTTTTTAAATAATTGCTGGGAAATGTATGTTTTGCAAAAAAAGTAATGGTGTGGTAAGTATATACCATAGGAACCTTGACCATGACCTCATAGTGATGTCACACTCCCACCTAAAAGCCATACAACAATGCACGACAAAGAGTGCCATTAAATGTCTGGCATTTAGAGTTACTCAGGGCAGTGGCGGAACTACCAGGGTCGCAGAGGTCGCGGCCGCGACCGGTCCCTGGAGCTCCGCCACTTGGAGGGGGCCCTGGACCGGAGGAAGGGGCCCCCTAGTGACCGCTGATTACCAGTCCCGGGACCTCTTCCTCCTGTCCTGGGCCCTACATGCTTCACGCCGCCCCCCTCACCTTTTTCCGGGCGCAGCGTGAAGCATCATCCAGCCGGGCAGCAGCCAATGAGTGGGAGCGGTGTAATCCCCGCCCCCTTATCACACAGAACTGCTGCCCAGTGCCTAATAGAGCTGCTGCGGACACGAAGGGGGAGACAGGGAGCTGGAAGTATGAAGGAAGGTGACATGGGTTCCGGGAGCGGAAAGCTGGGGACATGAAGGGGGAGATAATGGGGAGCTGTGGAATTACTAATAAGAATACATTGTTATATACAGTAAATATACAATAGTAATGTCTGGATAGTAAAAGCTTTCATGCAAAGGAAAATGATATGTACACATGTGATAAACATACACCAAGGGACCGGCGGAAGATAAGGATGAGGCGCCTCAGTAGGGTAGGCTCCAACCAAGCTGAAGTGAGGTTATCACTTCATAAATATTCACAAACAAATACATAAAACACTCATTCTATACGCACATATGCCAACCAGCCCCATGTATATCTAAATAAAAATGTTGGATTAATCACATTCATTGCTACGCTATTATCTGCTCTAAGTTCACTCTAAAAGCACACAGAGCCTTCCTAAAACAGAATGTATTCTTAGGTTTCATTTTGATCACAAATCCCCCAAAATAAGGATTTTATTCCTTATTATTGGATGGTGGATGGGGTCAGGCAAATCATTCCTTCGTGCCTCTTGGCCAACTGCAAACCCAGGACCACCAGTTTATTTCACAGCTCATTATTATATAGAGATTTCTTCAAAGCTGCGTACAGCTATTTCAAGGTTACTGGGCCACCATCAGTGCAGGGCATGGAAACACTAGCTTCTATGGAGTAGAGTCAGGGAAATGTTAATGGCAGCAATCATTCAGGTGGGTTCAAGAAGAAATGTTATTGAGAAAGTCTCAAACATGTAAGATGCCTTTCACCTGACCAGAGAATGCTAATGGTAATCAATGGATTGGGCATTGAATTTGGCTCAATGAATGAACTGAGCATCAATGAATTGGGCCCAATGAATGAACTGAGCATCAATGAATTGGACCCAATGAATGAACTGAGCATCAATGAACTGGGCTCAATGAATGAGCTGAGCATCAATGAATTGGGCTCAATGAATGAGCTGAGCATCAATGAATTGGGCTCAATGAATGAGCTGAGCATCAATGAATTGGGCTCAATGCATGAATTTCAGGCTAGTTGACCATCAGCAGTGCAGTGCATGGAAACAATGGCTTCTTTGGAGTAGTGTGTATAGTCAGTCTCCAGTGTCCTACATGTAAGATGCCTTTCACCTGACCAGGGAATGCAAATGGTAATCAATGGATTTGGCATTGAATTGGGCTCAATGAATGAACTAAACATCAATGAACTGGGCTCAATGCATGAATTTCAGGCTAATTGACCATCATCAGTGCAGTGCATGGAAACAATGGCTTGTATGGAGTACTGTGTATAGTCAGTCATGAGGAAATGCACAAATCAATGAATCGGGCCCAAGGTTGGGTGACAGAGTTTGTGTCCAAAACTACACGTTGAAATAGTAAAGGATTTTCCCCCCTACTATGTATATAGTAGACTGCTCCAATCCTGAGAAATCATCTATTGAAGCATGCCCTAAAACTGACACCAGGAGTGTTGACCTTCTGGAGGCCCGGCAGCTCTCATTAGTTCCTCCTCCTGACGTCCATTTTATTACTAAGACTAATGATGTGTAGGTCTGCAAAAAGAAGTAACGAGAACTATGGGGCATCCACTAAGGCGGGGATGGCCAAACTCCGGCCCTCCAGCTGTGGGTGAAACAACAAATCCCATGAAGCATCTCTCTCCGGGAGTCATGTCTGTGGCTGTGAGAATCTTGCAAATCCTCATGGGATTCGTAGTTCCACCACAGCTGGAGGGCCGCAGTTTGGCCATCCCTCCACTAAGGTGTTGGTTTCCCATCAATCTTGGGGGGACAAAGTTTCAGAATCAGAGAGGCGTTGGGTGGTGTAAGTATCTTCAGTCTTCTATTATAGATATACCTTTGGCCCCATCTGAATACAATTGACAGGGAGGGGTAAGGGTTGGGAGCAGTTACTCTTCTAATTCATTCTCTCCTATGGGTACATTTGAGCTTTTGCATTTGTACTCTGTAAACAACCTATCAGTCCAGGCAGAGCAGCTAAGAATAGAACAGTAAACACTTGAGCCTGGGACCTTCACCTGCTGACTGCAAATGTTAGTATTAAATATTCACATGCAATATGATTTGCCTTCAACATAATAAATACATCCAAACAATATATACAAATGCTATATATTTTTTTTAAGTAGATGAGCATTAAAATATATTCCTGTCCCAGGAGGGCATGCACCTGTAATCCATGGGCTATGAGACAGGATAAATGGCTACCTCTCAAACTGTCCCATCCTTTAAGCGCCTCTTACTTTTGGATTATTCCATCCCCGCAGTACCCGCTGCCATGACGGAAAGTCAGCTCTGGAGATGGCGCACTCTCTCCTTTAGATGTCATTGTCACAATCTGGTATCTGTACACACTTCCAAGCCTTATAGATCTGCAAAAAAAACAAGACAAAAAAACAATTGCAGCATATTCTATATCTGTAGTGTACCTGCTACATGTATTGAAGCTAGCTGTAAAATATAATGGCAGTTTTCAGATAACGAACTCTGGATAAGATACACTATATGGCCATATGTTCTTGGGAATCTGACTATCACACCTATATGAGCTTGTTGGGCTTCCTGTTTCAAAACCATAGGCATAAAACCATAGCAACGCAATCTCCATTGACAAACAGTATCATACAAGGACATTTTAGCATTTGTACTCTTCCAACTTGGTAGCGACAATTAGGTGAAGGAGTTTTTTGGTTTCAGCATGACTGTACACAACGCCAGCTCCACAGAGACATGGTTTGTCCTGCACAGAGCCCTAACTTCAACCCAACTGAACATGACTGTCGCCCTGTGAACAAAGCCAGCTTCATAAAGACATGGTTTGGCCAGTTTGGTGCGAAGAAACTTGAGCGTCCTACACAGAGCCCTGACCTTAACCCTGCTGAACATGACTGTCGCCCTGTGTACAAAGCCAGTTCCATAAAGACATGGTTTGACCAGTTTGGTGTGAAGAAATTTCAGCATCCTGCACAGAGCCCTGACCTCAACACTACTGATCACCTTTGGGATGAATTGGAATGCCAAATGAGAGCCAGATCTTCTCATCCTTCTCAAGATCTTCTCGTCATCCTCTCAACAGCAGTACCTGACCTCATAAATGCTCTTTTGGATGAATAGGTACCAGTTCCCACAGATACTTTCCTAAAAGTTGTGAAAAGCCTTCCCAGAACAGTATAGGTTGTTATAGCCACAAGAAGGGGGCCAACTCCGTTATAATGGCCATGGTTTTAAATAGGACATTCAAGAAGCTCATGGTCGGCTGGTGAAGATGTCAGCAGGTGAGGGGTTCTTTTTTGGTTTAAGAGGACCTGTTACTTTACTGTAAATGGGCAATTATAAAATAATTACTATACAATTTATATGAGATTTTAGTGATTGGGTGTACGTCTACCTTAAGAATATCCAAGCAGAGACTGTAGATCATTTACAGAAACAGGAAGGTGAAAGGACATTGAAAATTATTTATCTTATTCTGAAGAAAGGAGATGAAACAATATGACAGGATTATCACAGTGTCTCCCTGTTTAATGTCACTTTTAAAATAACGGCAAGAATTTTGGCAATGACATTAGAAGTTTATCTTGAAGAGATTCCGAAACAGAACAAACTGACTACAGATCAGATTTTTTATTTTTTTAGTTGCAATGGAACAATGTGGTGAATACAACATGAAACTCCACCATCTGTTTATTGATTGCAACCAGCCCTATGATAGTGTAAAAAGAAAATAATTATATAAAACAGTATAGAGATATGGAATTTGCATTAAAATAAAAGTAGTAATAATAATAATATGAAGGAGAAATAAAGTAACAAAACAAAAAAAACAACAAACACAAAGCCCAGGAATAGTCAAAGTAAAAAAATAAATAAATGAAAAAAATTAAAAAAAGCAAATTAACATTTGCTGCAATACTTACTTTTAATCCAAAGCTGTCCCCTGCAATACTCCTTTCCTCCCACTAGATGCCCTCACTCTACTGGACTGCATGACAGTCAGCTTCATTCAATACACTTTCTGTTAACTCAGCCCAGATGTGTGACA